GTTTGATAAAAGATTAAAGTTTATGAAAAGGTACCAAAAAGAAATCCAGATGATAAAAAATTCTATTGTGCTGGGCGTGGTGGCACACACCTGTAATCCCAGCACTTGGGAGGTTGAGGCAGGAGGATCACTGTGAGTTCGAGACCAATCTGGGCTACATACTGAGCTCCAGGTCAATAATCTCAACATCATAGTGAGGCCTTCTCTCGAAAAAAAAAAAAAATTCTATTGAAAATATGGGCAGCAGAAGTGGTCCGTGTGAGGACCAAGTGTCAGAACTAAAAGACAAGAAGCCAGGGATTTAGCTCAGTGGTTCTGCTGTCTGCCTCGCAAACACAAGGTCCTGAGTTCAATCCCCAGTACCCCCCCAAAAAATAACTAAAAGACAAGGCTGATGCAGGTGACCATATACTCAGAGATACCTGAAAAACAAGAAAATGAAAAACAGACCCAACAGCTGCTAGATAACACCAAGAAAACTAATCTAAGATTAACCTGGATTAGCGAAAGATCCAAAGACAGCACAAATCCCTGTTGTTTCTACCTGGAGCTTCTGACCCTGTCTGGTTTACCTTGTTTTAGTGGGAGATAGGTCCCCTTCCCTGGGAGCTGAGTGAGCTTTGCATACTGCTTCATTCTTTGCTCTACATTGTGCTCCATTTCTTTTGTTTTGCTGTAGTTTCTATTTCCCCTCTGGATTTCTAAAGATCTACTACTTTTTTCTCTTCACCAACTTGTTGTTTTCCAGTTGTCTTGATTCTAGGTCCCAGAATCTTTTGGTGTTTACGCTGCCATTTTTAGTCTCTTACTTTTTTTGTTTGTTTGTTTTCGGTTTTTTGGTACCAGCGATCGAACTCCGGTCCCTGCACTTGCAAAGCAGACACTAGGAACAACTGAGCTAAATCCTAGGCCCAGTCTCTTACTTTTTTTTTAAGTCTCTTATTTTTATTATTTTTTTGCACCGGGGATTGAACTCCAGCCCTTGTGCTTGCAAGGCAGGCAGTAGAACCACTGAGCTAAATCCCTGGCCCCCAAAGTCTCTTATTTTTTAAAAAGGAGTATTTGTTGGGCACAGTGACTCATGCCTTTAATCCCAGCTAATCAGGATACACTGGCAGAGTGATGGCAAGTTTGAGGCCAGCCTAGGCAAGTTTAGTGAGAATTTATCTAAAAAAAAAAAAAAGCGGCCAAAAATTCAGCTCAGTGGTGGAGCACTTGTTCCTGGGTTCCATCCCTAGCAAATGGGGGGGCGGGGATTATTTTATGTGTGAACTTTTGAAATCTCAAACTTTTTCAAATATTATTTTCTCAGTCGTCTAGCCATGGGTAACGTGCCCTTTCCACTTAAAACACACCTTACACTCACTTCTGTGTAACGCTATACATTTCCTCTCAACAACTGCTATGGTTTGGATTTTAAATGTCCCCAAAGGCTTGTGTGTTGCAGGTTTGGTCCTCAGATGATGGCCTATGGGAAGGTGGAGGGACCCTCCGGAGGTGGGGCCTATCAGGAGGAAGTGAGATCAGGGGGCATGGCCTTGGCGGGGAAATAGGGACCCTGCCCTTGTTCCCCTCTCTACTTCCCTTCCACCTTAAGATGTTCCCTTCTTGGGCCATACCTTCTTCACCTTGATTTTTCTGCTTTGCCTCAGGCTCCAAAACAACAGAGCCAACTAACCATGGACTGAAACCTCTGAAAGTGTGAGCCAAAATAAACCTTTTCTCCCCGTAAGTTGCTTCTCTCTTGGTGACAAAATCTGAAGCTGTGCAGATTCAGAAATGGACAGAAGCCCTCAAATCTCTGTTCTTGCGACCCGGTAGTCTTGTGGACACATGGCCCCTGTTCCAGTTGGGAGACCTGAAACTAAAACAGACAGCGACACACTTACTTCAGCCCAAATATGGTGCTGTGCTGGGCCCTGGTGCTTCTGCCCTTCCAGGAGCTAGAGCCTAAATATTTACAAATGTAAGAGAGGCTGTGCAGAGGCGCCCTTGAGGTCCAAGTGGTGGCTGGCAGACCGTTTCCCTCTCGCTGGATTTACACTGAAGATATACTGTGGAAAAGCAACTGTGAAAAATGAGAAATGGGTCTGGGCAGTTGTTTGGATAACACGGCAGCAGCTGGCCTACCAGGTGTCTGCGAAGCACTTGGAGTCCTGCTCTCCTCTGTCCTCTGCAGAGGCCGCCCTAGCCTTGCATCTCATCTTTCACTAGAATAGCTAGACTTTCTAACACTGCTTTTGTGTTGAGACTGGGTGTTGTTAAGTCACTGTGTTGCCCAACCTGGTCTCAAACTGGAGATTCTCCTGCCTCGGAGCTTCCTGGAGTGCTGGGATTATAGATGTTTGCCAATACACTGGGCTTAAACAGAATGTTTTACACTAAAAAATAATATATGGCTGTTTTAAAATGTGAAAAGCATGCAAAAGGGAAATTTAAGAATGTAAAAAGGAAATTTTTTCTTTTTCCTTTCCTATATCCCATACCCCAGCTGTAACGTGAAGTTTATCCTTCCAGAATTGTTCCCAGGGATGTCATGGTGAGGAACAGACTCTGGAGCCAGCCTGCCTGTGTCCTTGTCCCAGCTCTGCTGCTCCCCGTGAGTGGTATGACCTGGGGTGCATTACTTTACTTCTCCGCAGTTCAGTTGGCTCATAAATGGACAACAACCACGGTATCCATGCCAGTGTTGTGAGGTTTAATCGAGCTGTTCCTATAGTGTCCAGAACTGTGCTCGGCACCTGGCGAGCAGCACACGTGGGTTAATCACCTCTATCAAAGCCGTGACAACACAGGTGCTCTCGGTGTGACCCGCTACACAAGACTGGCTGCCCCAGCAGGGCTATGGACTGCAGGGATCAGACAGACAGGATCGTGTTTCTCTTCCTGGAAGCGAGAGGATAGAAGCAGGGCAGCCGGGTACCACTGGTCCAGACTTCCATCCCCTCCCAGTGAAACTGAAAACTTTCCATTCCGTCGATAGGACTCATAGTCGCTAGTCCGGGAGAAGGGAAAGCACACCAGGAGCTGTGGGGACAAAGCCAAAATAAAGCTTTATTTAACACCGGTGGACCAGTCTTCGTTTGCACGTGGGAGACTGGCCCCATCCAGTGCTCGGCAAAGGAGGATATACTGTTTGGGAGGGGTGGGGTTACGGATAAAGCGCATCTGACATACATTTATTGCTTACAGAGTTTGAATATTTGTTAGCAGGTGGGCTCAGCTGTGGTATTGGCTCAGACATATCCAGGCATGTGAGGCAGGACAGACCCAGGCATGTTGAACAAAGAAAATTTCAGGTAGGAAATTTCCCTGTAGTAAGTCCAGCTTGAACCATGGAGACAAAAGTCCCCTTTCAACAGGGGTCCCTGGCTTGGCTAAGTGCATTCGGGTCCTCAGGTGCCATAGAGCCTACGGACAACATAAACCAGATCTGCACATCCTGGCACAGGACGTGGCACCAATGTGTTGTCAAATGAAAAGTCCACGTGGAGAGTGATGTGTGCAAAATGATCCCGCTAGAAAGTGTGTGTGGCAGAGAGCACCGACAGGTCCTCAGTTTCCTCTCTTGTCTGGCCCCTCCAGTCCCATTTGAAGTGAGCAGCTGGGGTCTGTACTGGCCTGGGCAAGAGTGAACATCCAGGGCTGGTGCAGCCATGTTATAGGCAGCCACAGCCTCCAGAGGCAAGTAGGCCTAGCTAACAGGACACTGTGCTGTGCAGAGAAGATACATACAACTAAGTGGTCTCATCCTTTGAAAGGAAGTCAGTTGTTGTTCATGCCCCCTTGCACCTCTGTGGCAGTGGGCTGCTAAGGGGATGGGTTTGAACACTTAAATTTTTGATGCACACTGGGAAATGCCACTCTGAAAGTGTTTCATCAAAGTGTGTGCCCCCAACAGCTTCTGAGAGTCTCCATTTTCTTCTCTGTAGAGGACAGGACTTCTCCCCGACACACACCTGCCACTGTAGAGAGACATCTGTTCCATCAGAGAGTGAGCAGCACCCTGCAGCACCACCCACCTGATTTACAGCTGCCAGGGTGGATTGTGTGAAAGAAAGAAAGGACACTTGGCACTGGCTGAGACCTACTGATTATCCTCCTTGCCTTGTGTGGAAATAAAGGCAAAGAAGCATTTATATAATTTGTCCAGTTACATAGCTAGTAGGGATTTTTGCTTCCTCCTTTTTTGTTTTGGTGCCGGAGACCAAACCTGGGGTCTTGAGCATGCCAAGACCTGCTCTACCACTGAGCTATGCCTGAGCCCCAGTGGGCCTCACTGCCTGTTCTTCTGCTGCTTTGGGGAAGCTTTCGTGTCTTCTCATTCTTTTCTCAGCTTTACTGAAGTGTCATTTGCATACAGTAAAATCTACTCAACTATGCAATTTTGCAAGATTTTTTGTTTTGTTTTATTTTATGAGACAGGGTCTTGCTGTGTAGTTCAGACTGGCCTCGGTCTCCTGAGTGCTGGGATTATAAGCATGTGCCGCCATGCCCAGCTCAACTCTGCAAGATTTAACCACTGCCACTATGATCGAGGTATAAAACATTTCCAATGCTGCAAAAAGATCCCTCGTGTTCCCCGACACTCAGCTGCTCTCTTCTACCGCACCCCTGGCAAGTGCAGAAGTACTTTGCCGTGAAGATTTGCTTTCTAGGGTTTCATGTAAATGCAATCCTATAATATGTGATCTTTGTGTTTGCCACTGTTAGTGTTGCTATATCCTTATTACATATATCTGGTTTACTTTATTTTTAATTTCTGAGTACTATTTTAAGGTAAATATAGAAATATTTGTTTATCCATTCACAAGTGTGGCTTGTTTCCAATTTTTATCTCTCACAGATAAAGCTGTTGGTATCCAAGTTCTTTCTGAATGTATGTACAGGCTTTACATTTCTCTCATGTAAACAGCCAGTAGGATTGCTGGGTGCTGGAGCTGGCATTTACTGAACTTTATGAGAAGCTGTCAAACCGTTTTCCTAATCGAGTGCACCTCATCCAGTACTGTAGCCAAAGAGGTTTATCCGAGGCGCAGTCATTGCTAATTGAAAACTTTTCCCAAATTGAGTGCACCTCTAGGCATCCTCACCAGTGATACCTGAGAGTATTGGGCCCTGCATGCTTTTGCAGCCACCGCTATTACTGGTCTTTTTCATTTTAGCTATTGTGCTACATTGTAGCTTTGTCTTGTATTATTTCCCTCTTTCTTTCTTTCTGGCCGTAGGGATTAAACACAAGGTCTTTGCACCGACCTACAGCCTCAGCCCTTTAAAAATATTTTAATTTTGAGACAGGGTCTTGCTAAACTGCCCAGGCTACACTTGAATTTCCAATTCTTCTGCCTCACCCTCCCTAAAATTGGTATTATAGTCATGCTCCACCCTGCCTAGTTAGCATTTTCTACCTGATGAGTGATCTTGAGCATCTTTTCTTAGGATTATAGCCTTTTGTATATTTTCCTAAGCAGAATATTTATTCAGTTATTTTTCTTCCTCTTCCCCACTTAAAAAAATCAGGTCATTTGGCTTATTATTGAACTATAAGAGTTCTTTATAAGAATTCAGATTCTCAGTCTAACAAATAACATATTTACAAACATTTTCTCCCATTCTCTGGCTTGTCTTTTTGTTTCCTTAATGGTGCTTTTTTGTTTGTTTGTTAATACCAGGATTGAATTCGAGTCCCTGTGCTTTCGAGGCAGGCAGCGTAACCTCTGAGATAAATCCCCTGCTTTAATGGTACATTTTGAAGAGTGAGTGTGTTTGATTTTGATGAAGTCCAGTTCATTGACTTTATGGATTAGGCCTTTTCAGGCACATTGTATTCACCATGAACTCCTATGTTCTGTGTCTTCATGCTTTTATTGTAGATGGCTAAGGTAGTTAGAAATATTATAGACAGCCAGACAGGGCTGGGCCCTCCAAGAAGTCAATGCAGAGGACAACTGGGCTGGAGGTGCACTCATTGAAGGCCAGGCTTCAAGAAAGAGAGAACTGATTATATCCACATAGCTGCCTAGGGATGAGCAGCCATGATTGATATTCTAAATAGGCATCAATCACCTGGGTGAGGGACCAACACCTTAACCCATCTCTTCCAGGAAAGGTCCCTGACCCATCCCTTCCAGGAAAATCAATGTTACCTAAGGAGCTATATTTGTAATCTTATTGGTTGACCATAGTTTTGTCCCACCTTATACCCACCTTGTGATTTTCTATTGGATCAATATTTCCTAAGCAACTATACTTGTAATCTTATTAGTTGACTTTAGTTTTGTCCCACCTTATACCTGCCTCACCTCATGGTTTTGCTCTGTAAAATTCCCTTGAGAAGCAGGGTCCCTGGCCACTCACTTGGGACTCATGAATCTCTTAGAAGCTCTCTTTCTCTCAATAAATTCTTCCTACTCTTAACCTCCACTGTTCCTAGAATTCATTTTCAGTTTTAGAGAACACCAACTTGGCATGTTGGATATCTAACAGGTTGGGAGTTATAACCTTTCCCTTATATCATTTGGAGGTCCCACTGAGATAATTGGATGGTGGTACAGTGGCCCCTTGAGTTATGACCAGCCTGATATATGTTTTGTTGTTTGTTTTTTGAGACAGGGTCTCACTATGTAGTTGAGACTGACCTGGAACTCACTATGTAGCCTAGGATGGTCTCAAACTCACAGCGATCCTCCTGCCTCAGCCTCCCAAGTACTGGGATCATAGGTGTGCACCACCATCCCCGGCTACAGCCTGATATATGAACAACTGGGGTTTTGACTGGAATTTTAGTTTTAACCTGCAACTAAATTTTTGAGTTACAACCCAAATGCCAGCCACTTGTGCTTCCATAGGGTCTCAGATACAGATTTAATCCTTAAAGTGTTCGAAAAGAATATTACAACATCCTTTCCTGTGTGGTACTGAGAAACCCTCGGCCAATGCCTTTCTGAGGACGCTGAGATATGCCTGTGTATAGGAAAGAGACTTTAAAGACTGTGTGGAGGAGCCTGAGCTGTCATTGGCCAACTTGAGTTACAACCAGCACTGACAAGTGAATTGAGTTCATAAGTCAAGGGCCCACTGTAAGAGTTTGCTTTTGTTTCATAGATTCCAGATTGTGGCTCACTCGTGTAATCAAATTTACCTTAACTTTTATGCTTACGTCTTGAATTTTTGTCAGTTGCATATACCTTGAGTTTTTATGCCTTGTTTCTCTTATGATGCATTGTCTTTTGTTAAAATAATGGTAAATTTATATGTTACATTTGGACTAGTTGCTAAATTCATTGGTGTTTCTTGCTTGACTTGTTAGACTACAGCACTAGGGGAAAAAGTAGTGATAGAATGTCCCCTAGTAGACCTTGATATAAAATTCTGTAAAATGGGTTTTTTAATGAAATCTAGTTAATATGTAAAAAATATATATGTCTCAGTAAATCACAGGACCCCTTTCTGCCAGTTAATAAAGACAATAACCGGCAGCCATTCTTAAAACTTGGGGGACAGGTATCGCTGAGACATTCTGGCTTGATCCTTCTTATACTCTAGAGAAAATGTTTTGCCTATTCTGCCTCAGTTTCCTTTCTGGTCTGATCTTCTGCTGGTGAAGAGGCATTCTTAACTCTGGAGATTACCCATTCTCACCTTTCCAGGCTGAGAGTGACAGCTCATGAGCAAGTTGTCTCAACAACTTTCTGTGAGCATGAGAAGAAAAGACTTCCTTTTGCTGATCTCCTTTCTGATCTTTCCCTGACATTCTATATTTCCTTCTTTAAAGGCATGTACAATTAGAGAAAAAGGAACCCTAAAGTGTCCCAACCATTCCGTCCCATCCAATAACTAAGAACCTTTAAATTGAGCCCATAAGAAATGAGCTTTTGTAAGGCTTAAGTCTCACTTTTACTCCTGGAGCGTGAACAGCCAAGAGGCTTCCACGATGCTGGGCTCAGAAGCTCAGCGAGGCTCCAGGAGCTTGTCAGACAGCGAGAGTCACCCAGGAAGGAACACACCAGGCAAGTTGGCAAATAGACCTTTATTAGTCTGGCCAGACGGCACTCCCCAAGCCAAGTGGCTCAGAGAGGCAGCTAGCTCAGAAACAGAGGCCATTTTATATAGGACTGAGGGGGGGTTTACACTTAAAACTTACAGGAAGAGGGCAAAGGCAAAGAATCAGTTGATCTGAGCTAGTGGTCATCAAGCATATACTTGACCGTCACGTACTAATGATCAGCAGAGCGATTATCCATTATGCCATTTACAACTTAGATTATAATGTTCAGAACATTCAACTACAGGCAAGTAAGGAGTGGAGTGATTTGTGTTGGGTCTCTGTGTTCACTACAGTTTCCATTTAGTTTCCCAGCTACTTCAAAGCAGTTACCTAACAATTCACAATTAATCATTAGTTATCCTATAAGGGATGATGGGGGAGCGACAGTCTCTAGGTTGTTTGCTGGTCAACATGGAGTCGCTCTGGTTCAGTCAGGCTCTTACACTTTTGCAAACTCCAAATTCAGGGAGTATTTTAGAATAGGAACACATATCCTGTCTCTGGGTCAGATGAGACATCAGGATTTTGCCTGTCCAGGAGAACACGTATAAAAGTGATGTTCCTTCTTAGTGTTCTGGGCAACAGTCTTCCTTGGGAGACTGAAACTGGGACCCTGTGGAAACAGCTGACTTCTGGGTGAGCCTAGAAGGAGCTATTTCCTAAACATAACATTTAAGGGACCAAAACACATTTTAGTTTGGGCCAGGGATTTAGTTCAGTAGTGCTGCTTCCTGCTTCACAAGTGCAAGGCTGAGTTCGATCCCTGGTAGGAAAAACAAAACAAACAAACAAACACCCCCCCCACATTCTGTTTAAGGGAAAATTCTCTAATTGCCCCACTCCCAGGTCTGGTTTTTGTCATTTATATGTGTATGGGAGGAAAATACTTTCACTAAAACGTTGTGGAAGTTAGAAAAAAATCCCTAAGGTTTTTCCAACTTGCTTAGAGTTAACCTTAAAACTCCTTTATTAGCTAAATCACTTGGTAGCTAATCTAGCCCTCCCTCAAGGAAGCCAGGCTAAGGCAGCTTGCAACAACTGTTTGCCTTTCTCAGAGGAGAATAGCAATCAGCTAGCGATTTACACATGTGCCTTATTATATGCTAGTTAGAATAAAAAGAGATTTTAGTCAGCCTTTCTCTTCTTTTCATATGCATGTAGAAAACTGATAAATGGCCAGCTGTTGTGGTGTACGCCTGTAATCCCATCATTGGGTGGGGGCGGGTAAGGCGGGAGGATCACTGTGAGTTGGAGACCAGCCTGGGCTACATAGTGAGTTCCAGGTCAGACTCCACTACACAGTGAGACCCTGTCTCAAAAAAACAAAAACATGTGAGAGAATGAAAAGATGAAAATAAAGTAGATGGGGAGGGGAGGAGGGGGTGAAGGGAGGGCAGAGGTAAGGGGAAAAAATGAGAATCAAGACTTGTCATGTAGAGGTACAAGATCCCAACAATGAATGTAACTGTACAACAATAAACTCAATTAAAGCTGAAAAAACAAACAAACAACAAAAAAACAAAACACACACACAAAAAACAACAACAACAACAAAAACCTGATAAATGTTCCTTTACTGACATGTGAATTGTGGTTACTAGCCATGGAGTATAAATTTAACCTGTGGGCTTCAGAGACAGAGATTGTAGATTAGGCCTTGATTAGAACATAGCCTTGTCTTGCTGCTAAGGAAGGTGGCCTAGGTGATTAGATAGCGGAAATGTCTTAAAGGCTTCTCGCCCCTAGGTCCCAGGGCAAGATTTATCCATTTTATCTGACTCTGTCTCTGGAGGTGATCTCATTTACAAGCTGAGAAGTGCTCCGATTATTTCCAACTTGGTCTTTGGTATTTTCTCACTCTATTTCAAAGAATTAAAAAATAGTGGCTTAAGTCTCTTGATTATTGGTTTTGCCAGCAATGCTTCCTTCTTTAAATAGGACTGTTGCAGCTGAGGTCAATCATAACTTGTGCTTTTAAAATACCTGCTGGAGTTAGCAATTCAAGTTTGCAGGGAAGGTAGTGTCTTGAGCTGGTAAGGGTGGCTAGTCTGACCCTGGCCTCTCTTCTGGTTTCTCTCCAGATGGCA